GTAATCACCCTCTTCATGTCTCACTGTGTGTCTATCTGTCTTTAGTTCTACTCTACCTCTCTCTCTCCACTCACTCACTCTAAGTCTAACACACATAAACAAGAAGCGTGAATACTGGTTCAACGCTCCACAACACGCAAGATATATAAAAGAAAAAAACGGAGTTAATGATTCTCACGTCCCACAACCTACAAACACTTTCCTTGAATCCAACTCCAACTCATAACTGTTAGGCGTTAGCTTAGCATTGGCATTTAGTGATCACAAAATCTTGTCTCTTTCGTTTTTTATATTCCAAGTAAAGGCCTCTTTCATTGCCAGCCATGACCGAGGTCCTCCACTCCCCACCCCAATTTGCTTCTTCTTCATCACCAACAAAGACAAGGACAACCTCAACCACCTCTAACCCTTTCTCTTCATTCTCTCGCTATGCTTTTCTCCGACCACACCTCTCTCTCTTCGCTCTTCTCCTGACCCTTCTCAGGAAATCCTTCCTTCCTGCTCGCACTAACCTCTCCCACATGGACATGGACATTGGCTCCCCAACTAACGTGCGCCATGTTGCGCATGTCACCTTTGACAGGTTCAACGGCTTCTTGGGCTTGCCCGTTGAGTTCGAACCTGAAGTCCCCAGAAGACCTCCTAGTGCTAGGTAGTGCTAGGTGTGTTTGGAGATCACACGTTCACTACCTTATCAGAGAATATATATATATAAGAACCAGTTTTGTAGGGTTTAGTCAGCCACAAACCTACATTTCTAAGAATGTGTGTCCATGCATATACATATACGTTACATGAGATGAACACAATTCTTCATCATTGAGCTAGAGTCACATTTCCAAATGCATATTGGTTTTCATTAGTTTTTAATATTTGAGAGGAAAGTTATGTGTTGTTTTAATGCACGTTATGATTTTTTATTTGTGTTTTTACGTTGTCAATTAATAAAAATCATATTAAATGAATTTTAATGAAGTTATTGTATGAGTTAAATACTGCATTTTAATTAAATTCTTTGATTTGAAGGTTGTGTGTGTATTGTTTTACTTATTTATTTCTTTACGATTTTGTTTGATTCTTCACATGTAGTGCATCTGTTTTTGGAGTTTCGACAGAATCCATGCAGTTGTCGTATGATTCAAGAGGGAACAGTGTGCCAACGATTCTGCTCTTGATGCAAAGGCATCTGTATGCTCAAGGAGGGTTGCAGGTTGATCATGTACATTTGTCTGTGAATTTTTCATGATGTTGGTGGTTATTAATTGGATGCTCAAAAATGATAGTCATGCTTTTGAATGCATCAATTGAATGGCATTGCTGGGTTTAATTGTTGAGTTTACACGTGCAGGTGGAGGGGATTTTCAGAATTAACGCGGACAATGGTCAAGAGGAACATGTTAGGGATCAATTGAATTTGGGAGTGGTCCCAGAAGGCATTGATGTACATTGTTTGGCAGGGTTAATTAAGGTATAACATTGCAACATGATTTCTTCTGACTCCTCTGTTGGTGAATTGAACTGAATGATCATGTTGACAAAAAAGAGTCTCTTCTGTGATCATTGCTTTTGCTGGTGGAAATATTTATTTTTACTACTATTTTCAAAAAAGACAGAAAGCCAATACGTTTTTTTGTTATAGATCTAACATGTAACAGAATCATGAGTGCATAGAATTGATTCAACATGTAATTGATTGGAGAAAGGAATTTACCAAAGTGTATTTGACTGAATAGTACCACATTGCGTATCTAAATCAGATGAATAGTACAATTGTCTACCCATGTAATATTCGTTCTGTTGCATCTCATCTCTATCTTCTCATTTTCCGAAAATGTTTTTTTAATTAATATTCACGTCAAATCACATCAAATAAATGACGTGGAACTTTGGTTGCATCCCAACAATCTAAACCACACATATACAAGTGTTTCTACTGGTTAGATATTGTTCGCTTTGGGCCCAAGCCTTTACGTTTTACTTTTAGACACCATCTAAATGGCCTCTCTACCAATGGAGATAATTATGTGTATATAAACTCATGTTTATCTTCTTGTTTAAATAATGTAAAACTTTGCTTGCATCTCAAGATATTCTATTGCCACTTCTATACTTATCCAAATTTCTAATTTTTTAAAATATAAAAATACTTCATAATTACGGATTAATTTTTCCTTTTTAATTCAATGTTCGATAAACCCAACAAACAAAATAAACACTACAATACTAGTATTTGCAATCTGAAAACTTTATGATCCTGTTGGAAAGTGGAAACTTGAAACACATGTCTTACCATCCGGTTGTACTTTTTGTTCTTTTAAGAATTTTAATATCATCAAGCATGTGACTCTTTATAATTATAAATGATTTGTAAAACAATTTTATCTTTCCATTTTTTGTTGCTTGTAGACAAGCTATACGAGAAAATTAATTTTTCTGTCTGCTTTCTGTTCTCCCTATACCATACGCTGATCCATTGTATCCGTATCATCCTCTGTCGACTCATTTATTTAGGACAAATATAACAAAGTTTCCCAACTTTTTTGTTGGAAATTGGAATGCATTACCTTTATAGGTGTAGTTTTGTCCAAGCAGTAATTAACAGAATCTATTCACGTAATCCCATTTAATTAAACTCTCGTACGTAGCAAACCATCTGGTTTATGAAGGGATATAATCTAATCTTTGACTGTGTGCTTTTGTCTTGGCAAAAAGGAGATGGTAATGTGTTATTATAGACTATATGATAATTTATTTTGATATTCTTGTATTTTTTTAAGGCTTGGTTTAGGGAACTTCCAACGGGCATTCTGGATTCAATATCCCCAGAGCAGGTCATGCAATGCCAGACTGAGGAGGAATGCGCTGAACTAGTGAGGAATTTACCTCATACCGAAGCTTCACTCTTAGACTGGGCCATCAATCTGATGGCTGATGTTGTCCAACAAGAACATCTTAATAAGATGAATGCACGCAACATTGCCATGGTTTTTGCACCAAACATGACTCAGGTGTGTTTCCATAATTTTTCATTCTCAAGTGATTGTAGAGAAGAAAAGATGAACTATATAAGTGCTATATATTTTCACTTTCTCCTCTATTAAATTGCATATGAACATCTTTTGAAATCAAGTTAATGTTTTTTCTGTGGGAAATCTTATCTGTACTATTTGTTTGATATTGGCGGCAGTCAATACTTTTACCTTAACTGAATTATTTGCAGTGCTGTTTTCCCAAGAGTAAATAAAGAAGCCAATGTCATACTTGTTCTATCTGATGTTTGGTCTTTCCGATTGCAGATGGCAGACCCTTTCACTGCTTTGATGTATGCAGTTCAAGTAATGAACTTCTTGAAGACACTCATATTAAGGACTCTGCGGGAAAGAAAGGATTCTGTGGTAGAACCTTATCCTAGATATTATTTAAAACCTTCTGATGGTAATGGAGACCATAGACTTTTGGAGTCCTTTCAGCTAGAGACTCCAGCAGAAAAAGAAGAGTCTCAGGAAAACTTTGTTCTAGAGAAAATTGCCTTAGAGTGTTCCCCTGAATCACTCCAAAACATCTCAACTGGAGGGGAATCTGGCAGTTTGACAAACACTTCTGAGAATCTTGTTTGCAATGAGGATTTGTATTGTGAGTTTCCACCCGTAGGAAACATGGGGAAGGGTAAAACTGGTCAATCAAGTAAGTCAAATGCTAGAAAAGAGTCCAAAAAGACCAAAGGCAGCAACCTGTGATCAATCAAATAGTTACTGAAAAAGGGATTGGGAATTTAAGCCGCATATCAAAGCCTAGCAGTTAAAGAAGCACTGAAGTGTAAATTGATTATTTGACATTGTGGCATTGTAAGTTTGTTTATATCTCAAGTTGCAAATTGCTAGGGGAAGTTTGTGAGTGGCTCCTTATGTTTTATCTTTTAATTTTTTCCTGTGTTTGTTTAACTTATCTGATTCCAACAATAGTACTATATGATCACACTAACATTGTAATGAAATCTCATTCCCTGTGTGTTTACTTTTGTTCATAATTATTCCTTAATCATAAATTCATTCACGATTGCACTTTTGGATCCTTAACTATACAAGTATGGTTTCCTTCCACCTAATGGCTGCTGGTCCAATAAGCTTGGCATAAACTTACATGCTACGCGGTTAGGTATGAGTGGAACCTTTTTTCTTGGACCATAACAGCGACAATAGAGCTTCACTTGCTACAACTTTTATGGAAAAAATATTGTATGATTGATTTGGGAGGCATCATCAGGTCCCCACAAGGTAGACCAATGGCATAACGTTTTATTGAGATGGGAAATATCAAGAGGAAGGAAAACCACAAAACTATCAAACTTAAAAGAAAACGTTGCAAGCTACTTTCCCACCAAAATGCATCTATGGGCTAATTGTATGCAAATTTCTATAATGGGACAGGGCAGTGAAAGGGAGGGCTAACTGAGAACCAACCATTTTTCTTGAAAGGACTCGGCAAATATAAAGGGCTGAATCGAATATTCCTCTCCCTCTTTCCACCAATGACAAATGATGATCACAAGTGGGAATAGTGGAACTAGAAGGTATGCATGCATAAGTTCTTGGTTTGTGGCAATTCTATTATTCCGTAGCCTTATCCCAGTGTAGAAAGCTGAATGGGACTGTAATGTTTAATCATACTATTAATGTTTCATAGGGAATTAGTGAACAAACCCATAAATTATTAGTCTTATAATAATAGAGTACAAACTCCAACATAGATTCATCTTAAGGACACCTTGTGTGCATTATTGCAAAAGGGATAATACCGTATAAACTTTGTTTTGGTGGTCATATCCTGAAACCGCATAACTTTAACCAATCCGAACAAGATTATGTGGTACCAGGAGTCACATGACACTTGTACATAAGCGTGCCACGTTTCCTGCTAATTGCTATGTTCAATCTAGCAGAGCCACTTGGACAGTTACAAGTGAAAGTAGTTAATTAATTGAATGTGTACCCACATTTCAATGTGCTACAATTTAGAGATCGGAGACAAGGGTGTGGCTGTAGTAAGTGAATGTGAGCAAGTAGTTCACATCATTGTACTCTGGACAGCACCATAACAGGATCGAATCATTCATCAAAATCTGGACTTCACAAACCAAGAAAGTTGTGGTCCTGTCCCTTGTTTCCTCTCCTAAAGGGAACGTCTAATTGGAGCTCCATCTGCACAGGCAAGCTCATGGTTACACCATTTTTATGTATTAAGAATCATCAGCTTCACAGACAAATTAATGATTATACCTTTCTTTATGTATTTAGGTAGAAACCTAGAAGGTGAAAGCATTTGTTGCCTGATGCAATCCGTGTATTAGACCCAAGAAAGGGTCTATGTTTTGGAAGATACCAAGTCAACAAGTCATTTCCATGACCGTGTAATAAAGGAAACATTCAGGTTGGAAGCCCTTTTAATAAGGGTGAGAGTACCAAAACAACTTTAGGAATACATAGTATACTAAATTAGGATCGATTTTGCTAACATGATGGTTAAGAAATCCGCTTACCGTATTGTATTTTAACTTATTATGGATAATGAATAATAAAACGGAATTAAGATAAATCTCACCGTATAGTTAGTTACTAGGATTTTTATGGCCACCAATTGCTAGCTAAGCTACGTAAGCAGCATAACCACCCATTGGCCATTTATATGCCACACCAACTGAAAAAACAAGATACCATAAATCAGAAGAACCTCCGACTACATATATAATAGCATCTTCCTCTCGATTTTTCTAACTCATGCTATTTTCGTGTCTCTTTACTCTTTTCCCCCATCTCTCAACTACCAAAAGTACCACTTAGCACGTACAACACCCTCCCTCTCTTTCTTTCTGTGTTTTGTAATACACAAAGCAAAAACACTGGCTAGCAAGCAAGGCATGACAACATGTGGAAGCCTACAACAAATCTTCGATACCCTAATGCCTGAAAACCCTACTTTGCTTGAATCCCTCTCATGGAACCAAATAAAGCCCGTTAAAACCACTGACCAAACCCCCTCCTTCACTGAGATATTTGGAGAGCTTCATTTCAAGGACAGTACAATTCCTATATCATCATCACCCTCTACTCCATCATCTAGTGAGGTAAACCACACAAACAACTCCAACAAGAAGCACAAAAGCAGAGATAGCTTCTCATCCTTGAGTTCTGAGAGTTTGCACCTTTGCACCGAGGGTCTTGGCTTTGAGAGTTCAGATGATGTGGAAGACATAAAGGGTGGAGTGAATGAGAGTTGGGAAACGTATAAGGAGAAAGAGGGTGTGAAGAGGTGTGTGAGTTTAGAAGGAGAATGTAGGAGGTCAAGGGTGAGTGAGTACCCTCCTCCTATTTCATGCATAGGGAGGAGTGGGAAGCCTTATGTTTGTTTCAGGTCTTATAGGAGTAATGGCAGGTTTGTTCTCAAAGAGATAAGGATTCCTACTCACGAGTTTCTGCATGCTTGTAGGGAGGATGGAAGGCTGAAGCTGCATTTTGTTCATCCTGAAGATGAACCTATAGAAGAAGATGACGATGAAGACAGTAGTGGTGGTGATGACAACATAGAAAGTATATATGAGGAGGAAGAAGAAAACATGGGCGAAGAAAAATATGATTGTGTGACAGATGATCATGTAAATGAAGAAAAAGAGATTGATGCTCAAGTCACTAGTTACTCACTTGATGAAAGAGCAGAAATTTTGAATGTTGAGGAAGGTTTACAAAAATAAGAAGGAAAAAAAGAATTGGAAGCACTGTTGTGGGGTGCTTTTCTACTCTTTTCTTTAATATGTTAGCTTTTGTCCCTTGTGTTCCGAAATTGGTGGAATAAGGAGAAAATTGCAATCTTGTATCAATATTGTTGTCCCGTGCTACCTGCATGCATATCCTATGTAAACAAACGAGTCAGGTCTATTGTATTGTGTTTCTTAATTATGGGAAGTGGAAATTCGAGGAAATTCACGTGAGAACAACAAGAAGTACTTAAGAGGGAAACGAGGAAGATTGCTATCTAAGGATTATCTTAAGCTATAGAAAATGAAAGAAAGAAAAAATATATACTACGCTATTATTATTACATATGTGGCACAGCTCGATGAATAGAACTAGCATGTTCATACGGTTCAATCGATTAAGCTATAACATTTACTATTCGGTTCCAATGTTTCAACCGAGTATAATTAGCCGTCAAAGTTCATTTCATATATAAGTTTTTTTTTTTTTTTTTACAAATCTCAAAGGTCAAAACACAGATATTTTCAATGAAATCATCATTATTTTGGTCTTCCTCGATCGTATAAGCATAAAGTTCTAACTAAATATTTGATGGTGGGGAGGGTTGAATGTAGGTTGGGAATGACATTTGATTTGAATAATGCAACGCGCAAAGCACTTCCCTTACCACAGAAAATACGAAGAAAAATCCAAGAGGGAGTAGGATAATCTAGAAATAAATCAGAACCTGTAATCACGGTAATAGCGATAAGATTGTGAAAGGGACACGACACACGGAAAAAGAAAAGAAGGGCACCAAGATAAAACCATGTAATTAATACGTGATCCAGGACCTTAGTATTTTAGACAAAAATACGTCAAATATAATCTGCAACATACTCGATGCTCTTAGTGATTGCACAAATTAAATACATAATATTTGCCAAAAGATGCAAGCGCGTTTTAATTTGTTCATTACGTGAAATCATCACTTGTCCATAAAATCTAATGAATGATGTGATCTTTAGTTCAGAAGTCTTTCAGAAGAAATACCCTTTCCTTATAAAAACATATCCAATGTCTTTTTGTGTAAATAGAACAAAGACTTGGAGCAAAATAAAATCCTTTCAATCCAAAAACAAAGGAAAACACGTCCACGGAACATGTCAGATGTTGTTCTAAGGAATGCTATTTTTGACAAATTGTCATAAAATATCTTATAACAAGAGAAGAAAAAAGACGGCAAAAAAATGAAACAGTATAAGAAATGCGATGAAAAAAATTGAAAAGAAAAAAGTACTTTAAAAATTAAGGGAAGATACTATTTTCCTTTCTTTTTTCGCATGAAAGGTGGGGTGATCTAGCATGGAATTGTTGCTGGTATCCACGTACACAGTACAAAGCTCCACCAAATATTTTTCTGAACCCCCTCCCCCCC